CGAGCAACTCGCGCCCGTCCCGCGGCGGCGGGCCCGGCCCGGCCGCCCGCTCTCCCCTAGTTCCTCCGGCGGACTCAAGTTGCCACGAGCCGCTTTGCCCCTTCCTCTGGCGACGAAGGAGGCGGGGTGGGAGGCCGGGTGGGTAAAGCGGCCGCGGCACACCGGTGGCGGCGGAGGTACTATTTTGCGGATCCCGCCGAAGTCGCTCGGCGAGTTTATTTTCCCAGGCCCGGTTATTTCTGTTTGTTATTTTACCGAGAACAAAACAATCGTCCAGAGGGGACGCAGGCGGCGGGATGGGCCCGGGCTGCGGCAGCGGCCGGGGGCCGGACGCCGCTGCCCGCGGCCTGCCGGGGGAAGACGGGGTCAGCTCCGGCCCGCTCGGGCCGTGCCCGCCGCTCTCCGCACTGTGAGTTGCGAGGCTCGGGAACGAGCGGCCCGTCTCCTCCCCTGCTCTCGCCCCGTGTCACCGGCGGCCGGAGCCGGGCTTCGCGCCTCCCTGCCCGCCGCCGCCCTCTCAGCCCCGCGCCGCTCCCTCTCGGACGCCGCTTCCATTGCGCGGCCGCCGGAGCCACGCGGGCGGCGTCGGGCTCCGTCCGCCGCCTCCTTCGCGCTGCCGGGCTGGCTGAGCCGGCCGAGCACAGGCCGCGCGCCAGGCGTACAAAATAAATGTTGGTATTGGTGGCCCATGAAATCGACACTGCGGTTTCCTGCCGGCCTGGCCCGTGGGCCTGGCCACGGGGTCTGAGTTCCGCGGGGTTTAGTTTCGCTGGGAGAAGGGATAGTGCGGGCGGCAGCGGGCCAGGTGCTCCAGGGGCAGGGAAAGGGTTTGGCACCGCCGCTCTCCACAAGTAGACGCGGTGATACAGGCTCGGGTTGGGTATTAATCGTCCACAGCATATCGTTTTTTACTGTCAGCACGGGAACAAAAAAAAATCAAGCGGAAAACAAAGTGAGATGCATCGCGCAGCTTTCTTATTCGGAAAGGAGAACGGGAAATGTAAGGGACAGAGAGCGTGCTGATCTCATTCAGATCAAAAAGCTGTGGCAAACGTCTAGCACGCGTTAAGCTGCTTCACGTTTGTGCTGGAGGAAAAGATGCTCCGTAGAAACAATACGTGCAGCTCAACCCCAGCTAAAACAATTTATCCCAAGGAAATTCAGGTTAGAACACAATGCAATGAATGTAGTTCTGTGCAGACATGCGTTTTATATATGTGTTTGTGTATATGTGTGTACGAGGGAGGGAAGAAAAGCGAGTGTGGGAAAGAGACAGTAAATAACGAGGACAAGTAAAATGGACCGGTAATAAACAATTGCAATTGGGGATGGCATGAACTCTGTGCATTGGATTAACCTCGAATGACCTTACCACAATTGTATTTATTTAACCAATTTCATAACAGGTTGCTACTGACACACACACACATACAAGTTAATGATCAGCAACCACTCTTTTTTCTGTTGTTTGGTTTGGGAATTTTTTTTTTTTGCTAGAAATTCAAGTGGTTTGGGGGTTTTTAAAATCCTGACAATTTATAATTATTTCGTTTCTCAACACTGAAGTCAATGTATGGGATTTCTTAAAGAAGAGTGCAATGAGGAGGATGTTATATGATTCTACCATGGCAAGGGGTAAGAGGAAAGGTAAGCTTTCTGCATATTATTATGATTACGATGATCATTAACTAATATGTGTCATTACGGTGCACTAGGATCCCATTAGGGTGGCTGGGCCCAGTGCGTTTTCCTACTCGGTCTAGCATGTAATGATTCGGTGTAACCAGATTCTTGAGAAAGGACAGGTTACGTAAACATTTACTGATGTGGAGTAACTATACTATTTGTACTCTGATATGCAGGAAGGAAAGTGTTGATTAACACAGAAGAAAAAAAAGCGAAATTAGCTGATTGCATGCTCATAAGTGCAAGCTGTCATTGAACTGCTTTTAAAATAGACACAGCTGGGTGTTTGTGTTGAAAAATTTCTTGTGTTTTTGCTAATACTGAAATAAGCATGATTTTGTATACCAAACATTTTCAGATCATTAAAATTTGTAATCTGTGCTGGTTTTAAACACAAAGAAAAGAAACAGATTCATTTCGTTGTAAAATTTGCTGATATTATATTAACTCAATCAGGTCTGTACAAATGGTGTATTGTGCCTTATCAAATCTCTTTGATCCATTTAATACACAAAGTGCCAAACGTGTGTATTGTTTGTTAACATTGAACATTTTATTCAAATCCCAGCTCTGTAGCAAACTGGAGGAGTTCTTGTTTAATGTAACACTGACATTGCCTGTTGAAATTTTAATGCCTTGAGGTGTTTCTTAGGTCAAAGCTGAGTTTACTTTGTGTTTTGATCAGGAATGAAAATGTAGCAGGGAAGAAAATAGAAGTTTTATCTTTTTTTCATTTCTGAGCAAAAGGCTAACACTGCAAGAAGTACACTTTAAAAACAATCTGATGATCTAGATTTAACATTTGGTCATTTGTCAAAGATGCGGAACAAAACTCTGTGCACAAACTTAGGATTTATATATTTTTTTAATGCCGTGGATATACAGTTCTACCAAAAAAGGAAATGTTTTGTCCGATATGTAGTACATATCTTTCTAAATCCATGAAGATTAATTCATTGTTTACAGGAGAGAAAAGGATATGTAAGAGAAGCCACGTCAATTATAATTTCTGCTGGACTATAACTTTCGAGTGCTTTTTTTTTCTTTTCCCCTTCGGCAGAAAATACACCGTTTATAAGACTAGAGATATTTACTTTGAAAATGCGAGAGTCTTGCTCTAACGCCATTTCTTTCTGGAGCTCTGCCCCGAACATGACTCCAGTGGTACCTTTGTGCGTTGGGGCACTGCATGAGTGGCAGGTTTGACTACTCAACTCTGGCTAAACCCAAATTCTCTTAAGAAAGTCCCTCATGGCAGCATTTTCTAACAGGAAAGGCTTTGTGGAGTGTTTGGAACAGAAGCTTGTGCGTGGAACGGAGGCACACAGCCCCAGCCCTGTGAAATGCGGGTGGGTGTGCAGAGGGGAGCCGGCTCTGCAGAGTGTGAATGATGCCTCACCTGCACGCTCGTCGACGTTGCGGATCGACCGAACCAAGCGGCGGGGATGGGCTGAGAGTATCCAGCTCCGAGGTCAGAATGGAGCTGAATAGCTGAGCTGAAACGTCCTGGCTGAAGTGCCATTCAACAGCGATCTCCGTACAGCACTTGGGTATAACTCGTAGGGATAGTGTTTCAAGCACATACTTCCCTCTTCCCCTCCCCCCCCCCCCC